TCCTGCTGCAGGGGGTTTATTTAACTGGGGTGGGTGCACCCAGGCTGCTCAGGGTCTGCCCTGTTCCCCACTGCTGGAGGGCTCTGAGGGAGTTGGGGAAAAATACCCCAGGTATGACCCAGACCTTGTCTCTGCCAGCTGGAAGCCTGGCACAGCACGGGTGAGGCCGGATAGATGGGAAACACCAACCTCCAAATTTATAATCATTTCAGAAACATTCCATTCAGGGAGAGCAGGGCGGGTTCTCAGGGGTTAGTCAGCCATGGGTGCCTGCTGACCACCTCAATGGAGGGTCTGAGGGTCATGTCCGGCTCCAGGAGCATTTTCAGGAGGTTCTGGCACTCCTCGGAGACCCCCAGGTGCCGGGGGATGGAGACACCTTTCTGCTGCTGCAGCATCATCTTGGGGATGTCGGAGTCGTCGAAGGGCATGCGGGCACAGAGCAGGATGTAGAGGATGGTGCCCATGCTCCAGATGTCGCCCTTGCAGCTGTCATGGGGCAGGCCCTGCAGCACCTCGGGTGCCACGTAGGCTGTGCTGCCGCAGAAGGTCCTGCTCAGGTCCCTGCCGTCCCTGGGGAGCAGCTTGGCGAAGCCAAAATCCGTCAGCTTCAAGGTGTGGCCCTGGAGCAGGGCGTTCTCACACTTGAGGTCCCGATGGGCCACCCCGCAGCTGTGGCAGTACTGGATGGCATCCACCAGCTGGCGGAACAGCACCTTGGCCTGGGGCTCGGGCAGGGGACCCTCCCGGACCATGTAGTCAAAGATATCCCCGTCCTCTGCCAGCTCCATCACCAGGAAGATCTTCCCCTCTGTGGATTCCAGCACCTCGTGCACGTGGATGATGTTCCTGTGCTTCAAGTGCATGACGATCTGGAGCTCCCGGGGAAGGAATTTGTGAATAAAATCTGCGGAGAGAGGAGGGGGTTTGGTGATGGTGACACCCTCGAGCTGTCAGCTCTGGGCACCCCTCTGGGACTCGGCAGAGGGAGGGAAGGACCTTCCCGGGGTGCCTGGTTCCTTTCAGCCCCAGCACTTTGTTGCCCTCATGGTCAGAGGGGCTGCCACCTCAACTGGTACTAATCCTTGGGCTATGGTCCTGGGCTGTTCTGCGGGACCCCCAGCTCCCCCCAGTTCTCCCATCTGCTCACAGGGATTGAGTTTGGGAAACCAGTTTCCTGCTGGGTGTGAAAAGCCTCCAGGGAAGGACAATGCCTCAACCTGGAGCTCTTTCAGGGTCAGCTCTTACCTTTCGGGCCTTCCTTCTTGTCCATTATTTTAATTGCCACTTTCTTCTGGTGTTTTAGTGAAAAAGCTTCTTTCACTTTGGAGAACATCCCCTCCCCGACCGTCCTGCCCAGCTGGTAGCCATTGGCAAGCAAAAACCCCTCCATGCCTTCACGTGGGCTGGGCCCCGTCCCTCCTGCACTGACTCCACCACAGCATCTCTGTGCCTGGGGGCAGCACCCCGGGGTGGGGGGCAAACACTGATGGATCCCCGGCATCCCCTGGAGCCCGGGGGTGCTATTGTGATGCAGCTGATGCTGGTTGCTGGGCAGCAGGTCTGGGGAGGTGAGGGACAGGCTGGACGCCCTTCTTGGTGAGCGGGGTCCCCCC